AAGGGCAGAGGCAGAGCAACAGCCAGGTAAGAGCAGACACAAGGGGGTGGAGAGATCTAGTAAGAAAGACCCTCATTCATATATGTGGGTGAGAAAGGAAAAGCAATGGATAACTCTAAGGTGTATGACCTGAGTACTGAAAGGAAGGGCCTGCCATCGGTTGGGTTTGAAAGCTGAAAACACAAGATTGTTTTAGGACAAGTTTAAGTCTAAATGCCAGTTGGACTTCCAAGTAAAGAGTGGGTCACTGAATATGAGTCTGGAGTTCAGGACAGAGATCTGACTATACAAAGGCAATTGGGAGTTACCACTGGGTAAAAAAGGTAGGCTACCAGGTGAATGGTACAGGGATGAAATCATTCCACTGGTGATGAAACTAAGGTACAGAAAGGTTAACAATTTGCTCAAAACCTGCGTGGCAGGGTCTCACTATATAACCGAGGCTGGTCTAGAACTCACAATGCTCCTGCCTCAGACTTCCAACTGCTGGGATTATATGCTTGCACCAAATGCCCAACCAGAGCCCACACTCTTAACCAACAGCAGGGTTTGTTAGAAAGTTTAAGAGTTAATTCTGGGGCTGGAGGTGTAGTCAGCAGTACAGTCTGGTGAGAGTAAGGCTCTGGGTTCCACCCCCAGAAAGGCAAAAAGGGGATTCGTTTAAAACACGTGCTAGGTGCCTGCACACAGAAAACGCTGCATATATGGCACATGCCTTCACATCTCATCCTAGCACATCGCCATCCCTGGAGAGCTCCACCCCACACACACACCCCGCTTCAATATTGCTTCTTCACACGCCTCCCCACCCAAATCCAAGTTCAGAACCCATAGCAGGGACCTCCGCCCTTCCATTCTACGCTATAATAATGCTCTGCCTTATAACCTACCATTAAGTCGCAAATCAGCACCTCGGTAGTCTGCCACGTGCTATCTCCTACATTACAATTTCCCCATTAAAGAACCTCCTAGAAACAGACACCCCCGACTCACATGCTAACCTCTGCCCCACACCCCCTCATTCAAGCGCCTATCCGTGTAAAACGGCACCTCCTTCCCATTTCCACACTGCGGGAACAGCTGCCCGCCATAGCCCACTCTCCCCCAAAAGCCCCCTCCCCCGAGGACCGCGGCCCCGGCCCGCGCACCCGCCGCTCCCGCCGCCTCTCACCTTCTCCGCAAACACCCCTCCTCGCGAGCGGTTCAACTGCCGAAGCGCCAGCCCCGCCCCAGGATCCGGCCTTCTCACTCCTGATTGGCCTTGGCTTACCCGCAACCAAGTTTCTATTAGTCAAAGAACACGCCCGTCTCTCTATCCCGCCCCATAAAAGACCCCGCCCCCCAAAGCTTGCAATTGGCCAATTTGGAAGAGGCGTTCCTGGATGGCTTTTGGGAGCCCCTCCATCGTCTGTCTCCCTTCCAATCACTATTAGCTAGTACTGCTGCCAGTCATTTAAAAAGGTTGCTGCCCTAAATAGGGCGGTGGAGCATCACGGAAGTACCTCTTGGCTCCGCCCATCACCCACTGTTATTGGATAGGCCACGCCCACTTTGAGGGGCGGGGCTGGAGGACAGATCTTGGCCGCTGGTCCGGAAGCTGCGGGGATGTTCCCAGCTATAAAGACCCGTAGAGATTTTTTTTTTTGGCTCTCAGTGCCTTCCAAGCCTGAACTAAGCACTTTGCAGGCCTTTGTTTATTTAAAGTAATCATTATTATGGCTTCTATTTAACCACTAAAGAAAGAGGCCCTGAGAGGCATAGCCACTACGCCGGATCACACAGCTGGTGGAGGATCCTTATTTGGAGCCAATGAGTCATCTATCAATAGGGTGGGGTCCAGTTTATGGAATGGAGGGGACGGGCCCTCTTTAAAAACAATACACAATCACAAACACAAAATTCACTTAGAATCTGAAATAACAAATTACATACTTGAAAGAGCTGACAAATACCACAAACGTTGCAAAATCCCAAATGATAACGTAATGTTTTTATTAATCTGCTGCCTGACACACCTCTTGAGATATGTTTCCTACTTTGGGGGCTGCGTACTCACTTTGTAATATCCTTATCTACAGAGAAGAGAGAAAATTATCTTGCCTCTATCTGGGTCGATGGAACTTTATATTTTGGGGGGTTCATTATAATTTAGAAAAAGTCTCAGCTTCTCAAGTCATATTGATGACATCATCTGAGTTTTTTGGAAAACTTTCATAACGTTTTATTCATATGTTATCTCTACATTGTGGAAAATCTCGATCATTTCAATTCTCGACTCAATTACCTTATACGCGTGCTTCTAGAGTGGGCCTCTAAAGGACACATTCATGCCACACTAGACTATGGCTTGCACCTAGCAAGTTACTGGAATGTTCCTGGAAGCCATTCCTACACCAGCAGTTAGGTAGTTTCCGTATATCTAGAAGTGTCTGTGAACCACATAAAAAATATCCCTCCAGCCCCAATCTAAATCCCATAAATGTCTACTCCAACATTACCAGTGGCAACGGGATATGCAACAAAGGGGAAGTATTACTGGGAAAAGACTGTGGCCTTAACCAATTGCTTTTTTGAGACAGAGCTTCTAACTCTCAATCTTCCTGTCAGCTTCCTGAGTGCTGCGATTACGGGCATGCATCACCACACCTAGCTCCAATTACATTTTAGATATCTTCCTTTGCAGATTTTACAAGCACATCACACTGGGGCATAGTGGCTCATGCCTGTAATTCCAGCTATTCAGGAGATTGGGAGGATTGTAGTTTGAGGCCACTTTAGGCAAGAAAAATTATCAAGGCCCCATTTCAACAAAGCAGTTAGGCATAGTGACCCACGTCTGTAATCCAAGCTATGCAGGAGCTATACATAGAGGACAGAGGTCCAAGGCCCAAGGCAAAAGACCCTATGTGAAAAATAGCTAAAGCCAAACAGTCTGGGGCATGGCTCAAGTGGTGGAGCATCTGCCTAGCAAGTGCAAGTTGCTGAGTTCAAAGCACCAGTAGTGTCAAGAGAAGGAGGAGAAGAGAGAGAGAAAGAAAGAGGGAGAGAGAGAGAACATTAAACTATAAGAATAGAACATATTGGCAGGGTATCTCTTAGGGCTTTGGGATGGGCAGGAAAAATGAGGGGTCCTGAACTTTACTATAAGTCAATCTTGAACACCAGTCCTCATGTATTTACTGTCTGCTGTATACCAGAAGCCAGTGCAGTACTGAAGCACAACAGCCAGCCCCAACATTGCTCCCAGCTGTGAGACCTTTTTCTCTAGGTATGAGTTTTCCCATCTCTAAACTGAGTATTGCTAAAAAGCTATCATTTAGGTTTGGTTTTTTTTGTGTGTGTGTGGGACTGGGGTTTGAACTTGGGGTCCTACACCTTGAGTCACTCCACCAGCCCTTTTTTGTGATGGGTTTTTTTTGAGATAGGGTCTCCCAAACTATTTGCCCAGGCTGGCTTTGAACTGGGATCCTCCTGATCTCTGCCTCCTGATTAGCTAGGATTACAGGTGTGTGCCACCCATACCTGGGTCATTATGGTTGTTAAGAGTCCAAGATAGAAAGTTCACAAGGTAGCCTAGTTTATAACATGGGCTTTGCTCTCAGAGAAATGAAAATTAGGATGTTGAGTCTTCCTCTCACCAGCCATGGGACTTCCCACAAGTCTTGCCTCCTCTGTGAACTTCACTTTCTTCATCTGTAAATACAGTCAGGCCAGGCATGGTGGTTCACACGGTAGACAAAGGTAGGAAGATCATAGTCTGAGGCAAGCCCAGTTAAAAGCTTGAGATCCTATCTGAAAAATAAAATAAAACAGAAAGGGCTGGAGCATGGTAGAGCACCTGCTTAGTGAGTGCAAGGCTTTGAGTTCAAACCCCAGTACTGTCAAACAAACAAAATAATAGAGTTCAATTTATTTGTTCAGCAAGTATTTATCAAACACCTGCTATTTTCTTTTTTTTTTTTTTTGCACTATGGGACTTGAACTCAGGACTTATACCTTGAGCCATTCCACCAGCCTTTTTTGTGATAGGTTTTTTTTTTCAAGATAGGGTCTCGCAAACTATTTGCTCAGGCTGGCTTCTGAGTAACTAGGATTACTGGCATGAGCCACAGGCATCTGGCTGTACCTGCTATTGTCCAGGCACTTTTTCTGGGTGCCAGAGGTAGGTGCTCTGTGAACAGCAAAAATTCCATACCCTACTGGAAGGGAAACAAATAATAACTTATCAATGAACAAATAGAAGGTGGTAAGTAATACAAAGAAAATAAAGCAGGATGGTCACAGAAGATGTCTCTAAGAAGTCAGCTTAGAGCAGAGACCTGAAGGAAGGGAATGATCCAAGCTGGTGGGGGGGGGGGGGGGGGGGGGGGGGGGGGGGGGGGGGGGGGGGGGGGGGGGGGGGGGGGGGGGGGGGGGGGGGGGGGGGGGGGGGGGGGGGGGGGGGGGGGGGGGGGGGGGGGGGGGGGGGGGGGGGGGGGGGGGGGGGGGGGGGGGGGGGGGGGGGGGGGGGGGGGGGGGGGGGGGGGGGGGGGGGGGGGGGGGGGGG